CTTTCCCTTTGTAGCCCCCTCACCCGACACCCGCCGGGGACATACTTTTCTCAGAAGGCTCCTCCCAGGTGACCAGTGGCCTCAGGGTGCTGGGTCCCCAACGGCTGTCTGTTGGCTCCTCCTGGTGGCCAGTCGCTAGCCCAGGCGGTGCTGGCTGCAGTACCTGCCATGGCCATGTGGTGGAGCCACGGTCCTGTCGCCACAAGAGCCCGCCTGCCTGGTGGTGGTGCCCTGCCCCGGCCATCCTGCCAGGTGCCCGCCTGCCTACTGGTGGGCTGCAGCACTCCTGCCCCTGCCCTCCTGCTTCGTGCCTCGGGCCGTGCGTGGGCAGGGCGTAGGCCAGGGCCAGCCCAGAGGTGTCTGCCTCTCACCAGCCCCTCTTGTCTTCTAGTGCCCTGGGGGGCGAAACCCCTGGACAGGGGTGTCCCAGTTTCTGCAGACATCCCAGAAGATCATCCAGTTCGCCTCTGGGAAGGAGCCCCAGCCAGGGGAGACGGTCATCTATGTGGCCGGTGCCTTCGACCTATTCCGTATCCTCTCTGGGCCCCGTGGCCTGTGTCCACGCCCCAAGTGTGGGACGATCTGGGAGCCTTGCCGTTGCAACCAGGCGTGGGTACGGGACAGTGCTGGCAGGGCTAGAGGGCCTGGGCCGTCAGCGAGGCCCATCTGCTCTTCCGCTGTTACTACTGCTTAACCTGGGTGGACATCGGGCACGTGGACTTCCTGGAGAAGGTTCATGGGCTGGTGGACAGGCCCTACATCATCGCCGGCCTGCATTTCGACCAGGTCACTTCCCCAGCACCCTGGGCACCTGGTGGGCTGTGAGGACCTGGGAGGGCTTCTTGGGGTGGTGTAGACACAGGTGGCTTCAGGGAGATCAAGGTAAAGGAGGCTCCCAGGGTGAGCTAGGGCTTCTTCTGGGGTCAGACCGCCCAGGCCGGGGCATCCCCAGATGGGCTAGCTGAGTGCACGCTGCCTGAGGCCCGGCTCACCGGCCTGTCCACCCTAGGAGGTGAACCACTACAAGGGGAAGAACTACCCCATCATGAACCTGCACGAGCGCACCCTGAGCGTGCTGGCCTGCCGGGTGAGCCCCGCTATCCTGCCCACACCGGGCTGTGAGGCCCACGGTCTTGTAGCCCAGCCCCACCTGCCCCCAGGGCACCCCTGAGCTGACCACCCCCCAGGCTTGGCTTGCGGGAGTGGGAACCACGAGCACAGTGCTCCCCACCCCCACAGTACGTGTCAGAAGTGGTGATCGGGGCCCCGTACGCAGTCACGGCAGAGCTGCTGGGCCATTTCAAGGTGAGGCTCTGCCAGGACTTGGGCGCCATGGGCTGTGCGGTGGGGCCTCTCTGGGGAGGCTTCTGACCACTTCCTTCCCAGGTGGACCTGGTGTGTCACGGGAAGACAGAGATCGTGCCTGACAGGGACGGCTCCGACCCCTACCAGGTGGGTGGCATGGGCCCTTCCCAGATGTGAGGCCCAGGAGATGGGTGACCCTGCTCTGACACCTCACTCCCTCTGTCCTGTCCTGGCTGCCAGGAGCCCAAGAGAAGGGGCATCTTCCGCCGGGTGGACAGTGGCAGTGACCTTACCACAGACCTCATTGTCCAGAGGATTATCCAGAACAGGTGAGGTGGGGCCCTGCGGAAGGTGCCCCGCACTGTGCCCCTCCCTCCGCTCACCTGCCCGGCCCCCCAGGTTGGAGTACGAGGCCCGGAATCAGAAGAAAGAGGCTAAGGAGTTGGCCTTCCTGGAGGCCGCGCGGCGGCAGGAGGCCCAGCCCCTGGGAGGACAGCCGTGACCTCTGAGGGGTGACCTTGCGGACTGCGGAGCCTTGGCCCCTGCTCTCCTTCTGCCTCCATGCTGGGCGCTAGCGTTCTCGTGGAGCTGTGGCCTGCTCCACCCGGCCTGCACTGGTCACCACCTCCCGGCCTGTGAGGTGCCCTTCCCACCAGCTGCTGGGAGAGGGCGTCCAGTGCCTCGGGGTGGCCCAGCAGGCAGGTTGAGCATGGGCACCTGCCTGTGTGCTGCCACTCCCTGCTTCCCCAGGAAGCTCCCTCGGACCCGGCCTGGTAGCAGGCATGCTGGACGGCCATGGGAGCAGTGCCCTCACCCACCCCCCAGCTCAGCCTCCCCATCTCCGTCCTGTGCCTGACTGGGGTCTCTGGTGCAACCGACGCAATAAAGCCAAGCGGGCAGTGCTGGTAGCCAGGCCTTGCTGGAAGGGACCGGGGGCTGGGGCCAGCAGGGGAGCTGCCTTGCAAGGGCCATTGGAGGCAGGAGGGCCAGGTGCCCTGTGACTCCCACTGGGCCTTCAGTCTGCACCCGGCTAGAGCCTGCCTGGGTGGACTGCTGTCCAGAGGTGCTTGCTTCCGTCTCCCCGGCGGTGTCTGTGGGAGCTGGTGCTGGCTTTGCCTCACTGAGGAGCGAGCACTCACTAGTGGTTCCAGAGGGATGCACAGCCCTCCCCCTCTGGGTGGCCTCTGCCCTCCAGTTACTGGGCCATGGCTACTGGGACCCCTTTGCGGAAGGCTCGCCCTCTACCTTGATGTGGATTTCTGCTTTGCCATCAGGGAGCCACACCCGAGCCAGCAGGGCTGCTCAAGCTCCCCGTGTTCGGACCCTGGGCTGTGGGTCCCTGTAGACTCAGACCTGGGCAGGCACAGAGACCGCCTGAGCCCAGGAAGAGGGACTGAGGACTGTCCTCAGGAGCCACCGTGGTGTGCTCAGCCCGGGTGAAGTGTGTCCTGGCAGACCCAGCCCTGAACTCAGCCAGCCGAGTGTTGGGGCTTGGTTCAAGCTCTGAAGGGACTCAAAACTCGGCTTCAGGGGAACCAACAGTTAGCGTATTGGCTATGTTGCTGGACTCCCACGTAGTCAACCGCGGTTCGAGTCCCAGACCCGGTGGCTTAAAACTCACGTCGGGTGCGTGTGTGCCCAAGATCCCGAGAGGAGAATGGAGGAGAAGGGATTGCGGCATGGCCATCCCCCCTGGGGGGTGATTTCTCACTGTCTCTCTGACTCTGTCTGGCAAGCGCATGCACCCTATAGCAAAAAAATCTCTCCAAAAACAAAAAACAAAAACTCAGCTTCAGGACCAGCAGTTGGCATAATGGTTATGTCGCTGGACTCCCACATAGTCGACTGCAGTTCAAGTCCTGGACCTGGTTGCCTAAACTCATGCCCAGGCGCGTGTGTGTGCGTGCCCAAGATCCTGAGAGGAGAACAGAGGAGAAGGGATTGTGGCATGGCCATCCCCCCCGAGGGGTGATTTCTCGCTTTCTGCCTCTCTGTCTCTCTTGCGAGTGCACACACCCTATAGCACAAACCTCTCCAAAAAAAAAATACCCTCGACTTCAATTTGGTGGTAAAGCCCATGAGGTTGCAGTGGGGTGGGGAGGGGATCTCCCTGCTAAGTAAGCCTGAGTGGGGTCAAGGAGCCTTGGTGGGGTGGAGGCAGCTGAACCAGGGCTATGCCTGGCGTTCTCTGTGGGTCTGAGGTCTCCAGGCAGCCCTGGGCCTGTACAGGTGGTCCGTTTGCACTGACTCCTACCTCCGGTTCTGGAGGTGTGGCAGGTGCTCCGGGACCCAGGTGAAACCCAGGCTTGGAGGGCTTTGCCCCTGCCCCACCTCACGCTCTGGTGGGCAGATGCAGGAGGCTTAGCCAGGTGGATGTTTAAGCTGGTGGAGCTGATGGCTAGGAGGGGACAAGGGCGCCCCCACAAGAGACCTGGGGTGCGGGAGAATGACGCTCAGACGGAGGCTTTGGGGCTAGGAGCAGGGACGGGGTGCCCTCCCAGCAGCGGGTCGGGATCTGCCAGCTCCGGCCCTTTCCCTGCCTGTTGAGGGAAAGGCTGGGAAGGCTCCTGGGGGCCCCCTCATTTCCGCACTTTCCGGTTTAGAGTGTCACCTGTCTCCAGCACCCACCAGCCCTCACAGAAGCCTAGATTCATTTAGCCATTTACTGCGAGGACAGACGGAGGGACTGGGGACCGGTCTTGGGAGTGGCGGGGGTGGGCTCAGGTACTGCTGCAGTCCGCCGCGCGCAGCGACAGGAAGACGTCCGCCTTGCACTGGAGAGTCCCGCGGCCGTCGGGGAGCCGCTCGCAGCTCTGCAGGTTCGGGGTGACCTCCTTGACGCACAGGGCCTGGGGCAGCAGGCGGAGGCTGAGGGCGGCCCACATCTCCCAAACCCTCACCCTCCAGCCCCGCTCCCGGCGCCCGCACCTGCGCTTACGAGGCTCCGCAGCTCCGGGAAGGCGCCTTCGGGGTCCCGGGGTCCCGCCCCGATGGGCAGTTCCGGGCGCCGCGCGTACGCGGACCGGCGGAAACCGGACAGCAGCCCTGCGGCGCGGCCGACCGAGTAGTAGCTGGGCCCTGCCGCCGGCTTGTACCACGCGGAGCTGGGCGGCACCAGCAGCAGGCACAGCGCCAGGGCGGCAGCCACCTGCGTGGCGGGGCGGGG